GGTCTGGATCGTTCTTCATCTTGTGCAGGTCAAACACAATCTTCTTGGCCTCTTCGACTCGACCCTTCAGCAGGAGAAACCGGGGCGATTCGGGTACAATCAAGCACACGACGATCATGAGGAGAGCAAAGAATATGCCGATCCCGATCGGAGCCCTCCACTGCATCGACGGATTGTCATCGATCGTGTAGAACCCTAGGCCGATGCATGCTGCAATGGTATATCCCACGCCGACGTGGATGCCATTCATGCCCGACATCAGGCCTCGAAGATCAGGCGGAGCCAGCTCGGAGACGAATAGAGGTGCTGAGAGAGAGCATTAGCAGGGGCGTGATCCAAGGGTGTTCCTTTCTGTGGGGGCAGGAGACAATCTTACTGGTGACCTGGAACCCCCAAGCCCCAAAGCCCGTAATAAACCGAGCGACGATGAACATGGCAATGTTACGACTGCCGGTCTCCAAAGCGGTACCCAGAGTCAAGACCGTCGCGGAAACAATGAACGATGGCTTCCTGCCAAAGCGGTCCGTAATGAAGCCAGCGAGGACAACGCCGAAGCATGCGCCTGCCTATTGAAGATTGATCAGTGGTGAAAAAACGGAGAGAGGGAGGCAAGGTCCACACGAGAAGGAACCTACAAAGTACACGCCCGATACAGCTCCAATCAGGGCATTTCCATCCGAACTCAGAGCACCTGTTTCGGCGTCCACAATGCCCATGTACGTCAGGAATGAGCCGGTCCCCAGAGTGATGCTGATGCCAGAGGATGGATATCCGCAGGCGAGCTGGCCCAGCGAGACGAGCCAGCACACAAAGAAGTTCCAGCCATTCCAATGGCCGTGGCGAATCTTGGAGAACATGATTATCAGGGGAACAGGCAAAGGGTGCTTGCTCCAAACGTGTTACTGCGCCGGGGAAAGGGTTTATTTCTGGCATGTGGTGCTAGGGTGAGCATCGCAGCTTCATATACTTTCAAGTGTTCGCGCAGTCACCCATAGCCTGGTCCAGCTTGGGTGCGCCGAGACTTGCTTTCCTCGCCTCGAGTCGCTTCCCAGGACAGGGTGGGTCAGAGAGAAGCAGACCGTGATGGTGTTGATGGTCCCTCACCCCATGGGGCGCCATGACCCTTGACCGGGGTGTCGGATCAGAGCCAACAAGGTCGAGGTCGAGAACTTGCTTGGCCCGGACGTCTCCACTTTGGGTCTTGGGCTGGGGCCGAGCCATTTTTGGTTAGCGTCATTCGGACCGCCGGACCGGGGTCGATCAGGCCAATGAAAATGGAGAGACGGCCTTTCCCCACAAAATTATAGGACGAGGGTATACTGGGTTTCGGCAAGTCAAAAGGTCCTTGCGCCTGCCAGTAGAACCCTGGGGTATCGGTCCGATATATACGTCGTACGATGGATGAGCGACACATAATCACGCCTCGGGCTGCGACATTTGTGCATTCCATACTTTGTACATAATTTCTTCCCCCATGCTTCGAGAGAACTTATGTAACTATGGAAGGGCGCGGTAATCTCACCTGCATGGAGACTGTTGATCATCGTCCCTATCTGACTGTAGCTGTAAAGCCACCGAGCGGGAGAGATGACTAACCTATGTATTAACTCTCTAGCTACAACACTGATTGCCCCAATCTGAATCCTCGCAAGGTGGTAGGTAATATAGCATTATGACCAAGTGATGAAGTACGATACCTGTAGAGAGAGGCTCAACACCTGTTATCTCCCCTATAGGTCCAACGTCGATGTTTCTTCTAGAAGCGCTATGATCTATCTATTCAAGAGGGACGACGCTCTCGTGAACGATATCGAATCCCTTCCAGCCGTCCAAAGTCTTGAGGATTTCCTTCTCGTAATTTTCAATCCCGTGGCAGAATGTGACCAGCTCGGCCTTCTTGCCCGGTATGTTCGCCCCGGTCCACCACGAGTTTGTCAACGGAATCAGACTGCCTTCGGTGGTGGCGAGAACCGTCTTTTTCCATTCATCTTGAGCTTCCGGCGTGGGTTCGATGGACTTGGCGTGCTCCTTCTCAAGCTTCTCAATCGCGGCAAAGACGTAGTCCAGCTGACATTCTAGGATGGTTGGACCATTGGATAGCGAAGTGGGAGCTACAGGGTGGTGATAACAAGTCGTGTTAGTCCTGATATTCTTCCCTCCGTCCATGCGCAAAGGGCATCAGATTTACGTACCTTGAGGGCTGTATACCATAAAGGTATTGGGAAAGCCGTTGATGAGGATTCCCAGGTATGACTTGATTCCGTCTTTCCAAAGATCCTTCAAGTCTATTCCATCCTTGTTGAGCAGGCCCATGTTCACAATCCTAGAGAGGACTCAATGTTAGCATGACTTGACCAGAATGGGCAGCGAGTGGTCGACGTACGAGCCTGTGTAGCTCTCGAAGCCTGTGGCCAATGCAATCACATCAAATTCCCGTTCCTTCCCATCTGCCGTCAAGATACCCTTCTCGGTGAAATGCTGGAGAGGGGCTGCGTTGAGGTCCACCACTTCGACATGAGGCATATCAATGCACTCGTAGTAGTCTTCCTCCAGAGGTTGGCGTTTCGTACCGTACCAATAGGGTGGCTCAGCCGGTGCCATAAGATCCATCTTGACAGGATCGGTCATCCTTGCACGGACCTTCTTGCGCCAGAAATCATAGACGATGCGATTTGCCTTCTTATCTGTGAGAATGTCTGTGTAGCCACACGAATTCAGGCCCGCGCCACCACGGTTCCATCCGATCTCGAAAGCTTCTTCCCTCTCCTCTGGTGTCGCGTCGAGAACAGACTTGCCAGGGACGGTTCCTAGTACAGGTATGCCGACGAATGAATGTCTACCTGCTTTGAACAGGGCATGAAGGAGTCCCTTCTGCTCCTTTTGTTCCTGGATGGTGAGTGGTCGATTGCCAGCCGGCACGCAGTAGCTGGGACGACGCATGAAGTTAGTCAAGGTATCGGCTTCCTTGGCCAGCTCTTGTACGATCTGTACGCTGGTAGCCCCAGTGCCGATAATGCCGACGCGTTTGCCCTTGACGCTGAGGTTCTCGGGCCAGGCGCCGGAATGGTAAAGTTCACCCTTGTAGTCGCCCATGCCTGGAAATTCTGGCAGGTATTTCTTGTGCAGCAAGCCAGTTGCGATAACAATGTATTTGCCCCTGGCGACATGGCCTGCGCTTGTTTTGACCGTCCACAGTGCTTTCTTGGTGTCAAACTCGGCGCCGATGACCTGCGCGTTGAAGTATGTGTCCTTCCGTAGGTCGAGGATTTTATCAATGTGTGCCATGTACTTGCGTAACTCGGTGTGATCGGGGAATCTTTGGCTGTAATACCAATCCTTTGTGACCTCGGGTATAGAGAGCTGATAGAAGGGCGCTTCGGAGTCGACTCGAGCACCAGGGTATCGATTCCAATACCAGACGCCACCAAAATCGGTGCCTTCCTCGAAGATTTTAGCAGTCAACCCCAGCTTACGTGCTTTGTGCAAGGCCGTCATGCCACTGAAGCCACCCCCAACAATGATAACATCACAGTCGATGGTCCCGGAATGTGCGCCATTCGCCGCGTCGCCATTGACGGCAGTACCGTTCGATTGCGAATCATGAGAAACAACCATCTTTGTGTCGGACTTGGGCCTTTCCACCGTCGTAAAATGAAGTATAGGGGGTAGCACTGCGCGAAAGTATACGACTTTCACGCCATCATTTCATTCGAACCCCCGTATATCATTTATAAAAACCCCCATCTCCACACATTTGCCTCGGTCTACTTTTTTAGACTACTGTCCGGATGGTCGGACCGGTCTTTATAAAGCCAAGAGCCAGGGAGGGGGTGGTCTGCGACAGGGAGGTCCCACAGGTTTGTTGAGAAGAAAGATAACCGAAGTCTGGAGTACCCCCAAGCGAATGGAGTCACCGGTCATCACTAGCCTATGGGCTCTTATTTCAAGCTGCATTGGAGATTTATGTACCGGTATTCACTGATATGTACAGCGGCACTCGGCACAATTCTGGGCAATGTTCCGGGAAAGTCTTTCAACACACCCTTACCGAGTCAGGTTTTTGAAATAGACCGAATCTTCAGACTCAGTAGCGCCTTCTGACCCCGGACAAGCGTTACCCCACCTCACCCGTCTGTCTTGGCTGGGATCACATGGGGTGCATCAGGGAGGAAAAGCGCATGATCAATTAGCAGCGATAGACAGGTGTTTTTTCTGCGGGCTTTTCACACAAGGCTCACCATAGCGCGTGGTAGGTTACTGAAAGTCTCAGAGAAGGGCGGCAGTCTCTCCAGAAATTTTTTGTTGATAATCCGAGATAATCGGCTACGCGGCGTTTGAGTGGCGTCCTGGAGACGCACCAAGGTGCAATTAGGGCCACGTGCAAGGGTGCCACAGGTACCACTCCAGAGCCAGGGAGTAAGTATGCAGACTGACAGAGATGCATGCATGCAAGTGATCTGGAAGCGGCGCTTGTCCAACAACTTCTCTCAGCAAACCAGAGATATTACAGTGGAGTATTCCCACCAAGACTCCCCTCTGGCTGAAGCCGAGGAAGAACTCCACATTGCGTGGGCGTTACTTTTCGTATTCACTGTGCAAACAGATAGACTTCGCACTACGCTGCCAGAGTTCCAGAGCCAGGATTTCCTGCTGGACCCCATCAGCGCGGCATAGGCGTAAGAATATGAACCCAGGTAGAAGCTATACTTCCGTCAATACCTCTTCACAGCTCAACTATCGCTGGAGATACTCTCGGACCGTGGCCCCGAAAGCACAGAGAAGTAGATGTCTGTCAGGTGATGAAGGTGATGGAGTCGAGCTACTGTGGAGGATGATTGAAGGAATTCGATCCGCACTGGTGCCGGGCCGGGGGGGGGGGGGTGTTATATCGTTCACACTCTCTTTTCACACACTACCATAGATGTCTGCTACTGGATATTGATTGGATTGGAGGCTTCTATTGACAGAAAACACCTGTATCAGAGTCATCTGGTCCCAAAATGCCTTTGAACCTCGCACCAGAATGGCTTGCCCTGGAAGAGACCCTGGGGTTTCGGCCGTTGGTCACGGGCAACACCATCGAGCAAATAAGAGAGAATATCTCGAACATGACAAAGAACGCGCCTTTGCCAAAGGACAAACCAGGTCTTAACATTGGTAGGTCACTACACACAACGGCCGAGCCCCCAATTGATCGAACAGAAAAGCTGACCAGATGAGACGTTGGCTTCAAGCCCATGAGAATGTAGGCCCTTTCCGCGTGCGGATCTATCAAGACAAAGGGAGTAATGAACACTCAGATGTAGTAGGGTTATGGTGAGCATGATTACCTCGGTGACAGGCCATCTGCAGGAGAGAATTAACAGCGGCCAAGGTTTCGTGAGTCTTTGGTTCTTTCGAAGACGCAGCGCATGAACTGAGAGTTTTCCGAGACGGCGGTGGTTTCTGTGTTGGAGATCTAGAGGCCGACCACGGTTTGTCCTTTCCTTTCAAGTTCGCAGTCCCCGCGAAGTCTACTGCGTATCTGATCCCTCGCGACAGAACTTATCCAAAAACTGTGTCTGCATGCCCAGGTTCCCTTCGTGTCTGTCGAGTATCGGCTCGCGCCTGAACATCCGTGGCCTGCATCGCTGGAGGATTGTGTCGCTGCTGGAAAATGGGTGCGTTTCTTAAATCTCTCTACACTGCCTGTTGTGTTCTCATCATGAAGCCAGGCTATCTCCCATTTCTCAAACTCGTCAGCCAGTCACAACCCAGTTCCAGAACTGCTCCTCTGTGGCGTCTCTGCAGGAGCCCAACTAGCCTTGTCCTCGGCCATTGCTCTACGTTCGCAAAATGTCTCCATCCGCGGCATCATTTCTCTAGCTCCTGTGGTAGTTGCTGAGAAGGCGGTGCCTCCCGATATGCTACATTCCTACAAGTCGATGGAGGAAAACAAAGATGGTGCGATTATCGACAAGGCTGTTTTGGACATTTTCATGGGTACGTCCCAAGTGTGGTCTTCAGCTCGCAAGCGTATACATCACTTATTACAATCTCCAGATGCCAACGGCCATGACCCATATGACACCACTTTCTCCGTGCTGCTATCGCCATCTTTGGCCACGTTTCCAAGAACCTATCTAGTCACTTGCGGCGCTGATGTACTTCGCGATGATGGAATATTAATGGATCGCGAGCTGCAAAGCAAAGGGTTGGTCCAAACTCATACACCACCTATATTTGTTGTTCGCTGACTCGGTCTGTCTCAGCGTTCTGACTCGGCGTGATCACTACGAGGGCTATCCGCATGTGTTCTGGTCGACACCAGGGTTGCAAGTAAATGCCAAATTCCTGGACAATTTACTACAAGGTCTGGATTTTGCTCTAGACCGGACCAGCCAAAGTGGAAGCCGATGATATACCTTTTGCGAATGTCTTGACAAGAACAAAGAAGTCGTCACCCGCAGGAGCTTACCACACGAGACATAGGGTGGGGTGATATGACCAAGACAGGAAACTACCTTCCAAGACGGGTCACGCTTACAAATTTTCGCTCAAGGCTGAGCCCCAAGCTGGAATATGATAGGTTAGATTTCTCCAAACAGCACGGGTGTATCTTCCTCAGTACGCGGAGTTGTTCTATAAAATTGACATTAGTAGACCTTTGTCTCTGAGCCAGATTCAGTGCTACCAATTATGGCTTGATAGACCCTATAGATCAAAATCTAGAGTTCTGCCAACGTATCTTGGTGCTCAGTCAGTGAACGAAGGTGATATATCAGACATGTGATGATCCAAGTCCGACTGCTGATTAACTGACAAGGAGGGTTGATTTTTGCCTACAGTTAAATACCCCAAGAGCTCGCCAGCGTTGAATTTGCAGTCTGTTTTGTTCTCCGGAGACAATCCCGCCCCCTCAAACGGAGGCGCCAAGTCACCTATCCAATGGGTGCCATTACCTAGGCATTACTTGACGGCTACCCCGCTTTGGCTTGTCCAAAAGAGCCACCCTCGCAATATCTGCCCAAGGCCCAAGGAATTTGCCCGACTCTCTTGCCTTGTACCATAACCCGTCATGCTCCAACTCCCTCGTGGCCCAGAGCCAGATATGTCTACATCAAGTACCTACTATCGGCCTGTGCAACGTATCGCACAAGCCTGTTTTCTATGCAGGTGAGTGGGTCGATTTCCTTGGGCGGCTACTGTCACTATGTCAAGCCGTGTTCATAGATACTCCGACGTCTGCTTGTGTGCTCTTGTGCTACTTCGCTCCCAAGGATATGATGCTCACATCCTGCTCTCCATTACAGACGGAGAAAGACCCGGTGCACCGGTGAGCGGCCCAGGTGCGAGAGCTGCAGACGTTTGGCACAGTGTAAGTACTGCCCACGTCATCTTCTTTCCCGTCTTGGGATAACATTCTTCTTACAACGCAGACTGCCATTATCCTGATGCTGACACCAATGGCAACGGCAACGGCGTCACTAGAGGAGCGATGCATGGCAAGGACATTGAAGGGATGGTGCCGGCATCACAACTAGTAAAAGCACCTCGATCCAGTCCAAGGATGTTGTTCTCCAGCCTCTGTCACTGACAACACTACAGGCAGAAATCACCACGCGGCTCGACACGATCGAACAACTCCTAAAGAGCCTCAGCGAGAAGATGGAATCGTACGTTTTACAATCTGTAGCGATCCTCCTCAGGAGATACTGAGACGAAAGCTAGCGAACCTGACCGACTTCTCGATTCTCACAGCGGAAAGGCCATGTCAGAGTCATCTCGAACTGGAAATAGTCAGGTCGAGTCCTCTAGCAGGATCTCTACAACAGGGACATATACAGGCCTTGCGGCCAACGGCAATGGTTCCACAAGTTCGACTTTGACTGGTGCCATGGAAAGCACCGCTGGACAGACAGATTTCCTCAGGCTGGCGCCGCTGCCTGTTCTTCTGGAGACAGTCGACATCTACTTTACCTTCTGCCACAATCAGCCCTATTCTTTTTTCCACGAGGGCAATTTCCGAGATCGTTTGTCGAGAGGCGAGATTCCCGACCACCTGCTCTTTGCCGTGTTTTCAAACGCTATCCGATTCTCTGGGAATTCTTTCTTCGAGCATACCAAGGAACAAGCAGCCACGACCCATGCCAATCGCTCATGGAATCTAATCGTCGAGACATGCTTTGCTGCAAACCAAAAGGCGGACATTCGGACAGTGCAGACAATCACGCTGCTTGCAATATTTGATTTTACCGGTGAGTGTCCGTTATCGGTCTCGTTTTCTCGGGTTCATGAAATATGCGGTGTCACTAACAATGTCTTTGGTTTCCCCTGTTATTCTATCTAGCTGGACCAAGTCGACATGGCGCTGCATGGGTCAAAATTGGCATGGCAGTGCGCATTGCTCAAGACTTGCGCTTCATGATCGAGCCAGGTAACCACATACCTTTTGACGAAGCCGAAGAACGTCGAAGAACCTTCTGGTCGCTATATCTCTTGGATCGCCTGGTGTCGTGTGGCCGGGGACGCCCCCCCGCGATATTGAATGCTTCTTGTCAGTTACAGCTCCCCGTTGACGAGGCGACGTGGAGGGACAGACAATGGAAAGAGACGTCGAAGCTTGAGCAATTGTCCAACGGCGCGCACTCGAACCCTGCGCAGCACAGCCCGTTCGCTCATGTTATCCTGATAGCATACATTCTCGGACGCGCCGCCCAGTACATGCTGCAGGAGTTTGGCGTCAACCGACACCCACCCTGGGACTCCAGCTCCGAGTTTGCCGCCATCGGCTCTGATCTTTCGTATCTGGAGACGCAGATGGAAATGCACAAGCCCCTGGAGGCTATGCTCGGACCATCTCGCAATTCTGCTGGTGTCGTGGATCAGGCGAACGCCGGGCCCATAGTCTTTGCCCGAGCATTGTTCCACCTGTGTAATTGCCTGCTGAACCATCCATTCCTGCTGAGACGCAAGATTGCATCATGTAACAGGGTCGCCTCTGGCCGATTCCTGTCCCGGGCGTTCGAGTCCGGCTTGGACTCGGCCAAGGGTTTGATCGGACTGTTGCAGGACGCACGCAAGGCCGGCTGCATCTCGCACACATCGTTCTACGGCTACTGTGCCATCATTTCTGGTACGATATTCATCATGAATGCCCATGCGGCTACAGGCGACGTCCAAGTGCGTTGTTTTGAACTGCTTCAGGAAACGACGTCATTCATCGAAGACATCAGTCGTTACTGGCAGAACGTCGCCACAATGGTAAGTCTCAAAAGTATTTGTTTTAGGTGTCCAAGTTGTGCGCTTGTCCATGGGAAAGCTCAATGCAGACCTCGGCTGATTTCTATCCACGCCCAGGCCCTCGCACTTGACGTGTTTGCGGCACAGACGTACCTATTAAGCGAACTTGCGAGCGACAAGCCCGAGATTCAGATTCTCTCGCCCGCCGACACGGAGATGCTGTGGTCTTTGGTCGACTATAGTACGCTATCCAACGGCAACATCGCGCAACAGACGGCCAACGAGAGCCCAGACGACAGTTTCTGGTTCAACAACAACTCGTCATGGTACGACCTGTTCAGCAGTCCCAGCGTTGCCCAGCTGGGGTTTGTATCTCAGAGCGACCCGGTGGCTTTTACAACAGTCCCGGGCACCGACACCAGCACGACGGAAGACAACAGGTTCAATGCAACTCAAACGACAGATCAATGCTGAAGAGGCCTGATGCTCTGTGGTGTTAAAACCCTTTCGCCGAAAATGGGTAACGTCCTTTGGTTCTATCACTCTACCCACGGACCGAGTAGCACCTTTTTGATATGGGCAACAGTTGGGGGTCTGGAGGAATACTGGAGAACGGTGTAAGCATTTCCTTAGCCCCCCAGCAACACATAATACCAGGTATCAGCCGTCAGGGAAATTAAACCTTAGTTCTAGTATATCCTATCTTGGGCCTCTACAGGGATTTTGCCGTTCAAAGGTTAGCTGAGAAAATTCGTCTTTAAGCCTCCTGGCAACCACAGACATGACGCCATTACGCGGTCTCGCGGCAAAGCATCCCCGGACATGGTGCCGCTACACACACGATCAACAGGCCACCCGAGTCCAGATGGCACTAGCAGTTCGTGCCGATGCCTTCCTATACAAGTTAGAAGCCCTCGGTCCGGCTTGTCCACCAATCGTCGCTCGCGTCGCTCGTTCGCGTCGGCCCCATCCACATACATCTAAGCGAACAGGATCAGCGGGCCGTGTGCGTCTCGTTTTACAATCCCTGGCCCCAGTGCTTCACGCGTTCGAGACCGTTCACAATAGTCTGCCCGGCTATACGACTTTCCGTGAATGTCGGACTAGGTGGCGAGTGATGAGCTTTTACGGCTTGCCAGAACAAAAGTCAATTAGTCTGAAGCTGTCTCCGGGCATGTGGTCCGCAATATACCTCCCGCCCGACCAATCCAGGGACTTTTTTCCACGTTCATCTTGAGTACTCGGTGTTCACCACCCCTTCCTGTGTACCTTTGGTGAGATATTCGGTTCCCCTCTGTCTCCATTCTTGTCTGTTTGTTTCTGTGCTCAAGATACTGTTGAGAAGTTCAGACTCCTCGACGATCTCCACGCGGCGGCAGACAATGGCGTCTTTACTGGCACCTCTGACGGCCACTGCCGAGCATTTCAATTTCGCGACAGACGTCGTTGACAAATGGGCACTCATCGACCCCAGCCTGCGCGCGATGCTGTGGACGACGGCCGGCCCTCGAGGCAATTCGCCGCCTCGCACATTCACCTACCGCTATTTTCGAGACCAGAGCCATCGGGCTGCACACCTGTTGAGAGACCTTGGCGTCCAACGTGGAGATCGGTTGATGATCGTCTCGAACAGAGTACCCGCATGGTAAGGACTCCATGCATTGAGTGGTTTGCAAATGGGAAGACTTTTGTGTGCTGACACGGCAGGCGTGCAGGTGGGAGGAAAGTCATCTCGACTCTTATGCTACATCCGACGGTACGGTGTGTGCAGGCTGGGCTAACAGGTGGACTGTAGATTGCCACGGCGGCGATACGGTCTGGCGTTGTCCTTTGTCCGTGTACCGTGCTGGCGACTCCCAAAGATATCGAGGTGAGCGGCAAGGGCCAAAGATGGTCATGCCATCAAGGAAAAGGGGCGATGAGAAATCCCGCTAACGTGCGCGACTTCATCAGTACCGTGTTCAAGCCTCACAATGTACCATCTTCGTTGGCAATCGGTCCACCATCAGCGCTTTCCTCGGAGTCAAGTCAAGATGTCCTAGTGTGCGAGTCATCTTGCAGATCGACGGCGAGCCGCACGAGGACGCGGTCCAGTACCGGCACGCCTTGAAACAGACGTCTTTGCAGGACTTCATCGGGCCCAAGACGACATGGTCGGACCCGTGCATCATCTATTTCACGTCTGGGACTACAGGCCTGCCCAAAATGGTGCTTCACAACCAGGTCTCCTACCCTCTAGGTACCACTTCCTCTGCTGCGCCAGATGGTGCATCCACTGGCATAGAACGTGGCACGAGAGAAGCGATTCGAACTGACTGTATCGGTAGCTCATGCTTCAACCGGCAAATACTGGTTGGATCTGGACCAAAGTAAAGTTTTCTGGACGCTGGCGGAGCAGGGATGGGCCAAAGCGGGATGGTGAGTGTGATGAGGCCAGTTCAGTACATTCATTGCATGAAATTCATGTCGAGGTTTTTGATGTTTTTATCCTGCGGACCACTAATGTTCCCTTGGGGGCGCCAGGTCATGGTTCGCGACCTGGAACATGGGCGCCACATTGTTCATCCAGGACGATCGAGGCGCGTTTTCTCCCCAGTCGCTGATCGACACGCTCGCCGAGCACGACATCACGACTCTGTGTGCGCCGCCGACGGCGTATCGCCAGCTCGTCACCCCGGATATGCAGGCATACTTTGCGCAGAGGAGACCTAGAGCTCTACAGCATTGCGTTAGCGCGGGAGAGCCACTGAATCCCGAGGCTGTGAATGTGTGGAAAGCCATGAGCGGGATTGAAATCAAGGACGGTATGCTTGCCAACTCTGTCCAACCGTCGCTCTCTCCCCCTTTCCGACTGGCATTATATCAGCGTGACAACGTCTAACTTCTGCCACGAACAGCATACGGTCAAACCGAGACGACCATGGCTGCGGGGAATTTCGTTGGTGTCAAGGTGAAGCTGGGCAGTATGGGCAGAGCCACGCCCGGCGTGCCGCTCGACGTGATTGACGAGCAGGGCAACATTACCCCCGACAACACGGAAGGTGACCTCGCAGTCAAAGTGGTGGACGAACACGGCAGGAGGACCATGGGTGTCTACGACGGATACATTTCGAAAGACGGTCAGGTGAGTCGGGCTACCAGAGTGTCATCGTCGTCATCGTCGTCACTGTCATCGCGAAGTCGACCAGGCAAGTACGCGGCGGAATGGCATATTACTGGGGATCGAGCGTACCGCGACGCAGACAGGTATCTTTGGTTTGTAGGCCGATCCGACGACGTGATCAACTCGAGCGGCTATAGGATTGGTGAGTATAAGATCCATCCATTTGCCCGTACCTTTTTCCCTCTGAAGAAAGCTGGTTTCGTTTTACGCAGTGTCTAATCACTCGATCATGTCCCCAAACAGGCCCCTTTGAAGTCGAATCCGTCCTGAAACAGCACCCGGCCGTACTCGAGTCCGCCGTCGTGGCCTCCCCGGACGCCGACCGCGGGGAAGTGGTCAAGGCCTTTATCGTGCCGACCCAGGACTACCGAGACCGCGCGTTCGCCCCCGAAACCGCGGCCTCGCTGATCCGCGCGATTCAGGATTTCTGCAAGAAGGAGGCCGCGCCGTACAAGTACCCACGCAAGATCCAGTTCGTCGAGCCGGCGTTTTTGCCCAAGACCACGAGCGGGAAGATCCAGAGGGGGGTTTTGAGGAGGATGGAAAATGCGGCGGCGGCGACGAAGACGATGCGGGGATCGCATGGCGGTGCGAAATTGTGAGTTGTTTCGTCAAGTTCATGAATGACTGAGGAGAGGGTGGGAGGAGTCCTGGAGAGCAACTCGGGAATGAAGACTGTCAAGAGTCAGCTTGGTCAGAGATTTGTTAGCTTCTGTCGATGGAAGAGGGTTCAAGAGGTCGACTAGAAACCTAGAAGCCTAGAAACATATGTAGACGAGGTATACACAGGAAGCTCCAGGCGGGGAGCGATGTACGAGGCACTAGTCCGAGATTTCGTTGAGGGCGGCCGTCAATGATAAGTGAGTGGAAAGGGAGCTGCTGCACATGGAAACCTTTTGATAGAACAAAAGAAGCTAGGTAGATTCTTGATAGATTCCATGCTGAGCATTAGCCGGCTCGCCGGTGAAGTTTGTATGTACTGGGGTATGATGGATGTGCAGAAGATGATAGGAGGATTACGAGGTCTTGTGTCTGCGGGGAGCGGAAAGGGGAAAGGAGGAAAGGAGGGGTTGTCATTGCCAGCCTGGCGCCCCTGAACTCCCTGGCATGGGATCTTTTGGGAGCCAAGAGCCTGGCCTGGGCACGCCTAGGTACCTATGCAAGTATGAGCTACAAACCTCGCTCAAGTGCCCGGCAGCCACACTGAGCGTTCAGGAGGGCCGAACTTCGGCATGAATCTCTACCTGCCAGGTCTCGTGGGCGCAGGCAACACTTGTAAGGTACACGACAACGACACAATAGAAGGAGTGCCTGTTGCTATCACTGAGAACTTGGGTACACAAGTAACAACCTCCTCTTTTGTCAACTGTCAAAGGGCCGTCAGAGTCTGGACTCCCGCATATCCTACCCCGAAGACCCATCACTTGTTTCCTAGTGAATGGGACTTTTTACGAGCCACGAAACTACGAAACCTTCTTCAGCGCGACACCGCATGTCCATTCGCTCGTGCCTCAAAAGCCTCGGGTTATTGTAGCCCACCTTGCATAAAGGTACCCGGCAGCAATCGCGGGCCCTTTGCGCACCACTGTCATGCCGTCAATGAGAGGGCAGCCCACAGGCTGGTTCATGCATGGGCCTTTCGGGCAAACGCACCCCAAGCACACGTTCTGCACATGACGCGCGCAACCGCCAGGTCACTAACCAATCTCACCATCGCGATGCAGGGGACGCTGATTGGCCTCAGACAACAGGGTTCAGACGGGAGAACTAGCGGCGGTGTGCCCTCGACTCATCCAGTCTGCCGTCACCCATCGCAAAAAAGTACTTGGTAGAGAGAGTTCTCCGAATATTCATCACTAAAGGTCCCTGGCATGGGCCAATGGAATCCCATAGCCCGTCTCCGGTTTTGCCAAAGGTCCCTCGTCCGTGCCAGTAACAAGTACCAAACATGATTGTGGTCTGTGCGAGTACTCTCTCTACCTGCTGGTCTGAAGCTAGGGAGTTTCAAGTCTCCGTGTCTCTACAAGCATTGTGGTCAGTTGCGATGGGGACTGTCGGTGACATTTCTAGACCTTCAAGGACAACAAAACCCGGTCCCTTAGGTATCTCGGGGATCTTCAAACACTTAAAATCGCCACATCCCCAACAAGTGGAAGATCTTCCACCATCTCTCCTATATTTCCATCCAATATGTCTGCGATCAACAGTGCGCGAACAGACGCCATAATGTCTTGCATGCGGCGCGTGAGGCGTTACCTGGACCAATGTTACGATTTCGATCACCTCCACGCCCAGATTCCCAGCGCGGAATACCATAAATACAAACAGTCCCAGCTCAACCACGTCCTCGACATTCTCTTGACCCTGTTCGACTCGAATTCTGGCGGCGCTGTGCCGCCCACTGACCCTCCTCACGAGCGGCCAGAGCTTGGTTGGGATCTACCCCCGCAGTTTAATGGTGCAAGGTTTCTGACAGGTGCCAGCATTCATCGGATCCAACCCACAAGTACAAGCGATATGAGGGATTAAATCTGGGCTAATGCAGCCGGCATCTGCACATGTGGCGGGCAGGGCCACCACTGAGATTGGCGGATCGGCCCGCCAAATCGTCTTCTTGCACACTTCGTCTCCGCCCTGGGGTGATCCGTGGGGGTTCACTCAGCTACCCTAACAATCGAGTCCTCTGTTTGATCGCTTAGGAGATGTGGCATCGCAAATCACAGGCTTCTGTTGACACACAGCGAATTATTAGCACTGGCACTATAAGAGGTGGTTGAGACTCGGAGATGTATGGGACTGTCCCTCGTTTTGTTGTGCTGTGGAGAGGTTCAGCGATGCCTGTACCTCGTACTTGAAAGGTGGGGTTAGCATTGAAAAGACAGGTACAGCAAGTTGGTCGGTGGCCTGAGTGTCAAGGCGCAGGTGGCTTGGAGAAGTTCTGGAGGTGTACTCGGTACTCGGTATTACCTCGTAATTAGTGCTGTTCGGACAAGCTTGCAAAAAATAGAGTCACTTTGCCGAGCATTGTACGTGTTGCTTAGTGCTCTTGGCCTCCCCACTTCCTGTGGCTTCTCTGTGGCGTCATTGGCACGGTACCTGAATATTGACGTCATCCATGGCAGCATCACGTGCTATAAGCCTCCATGATTGGCAGATAGTCCTTGCTTGATGAGCGCACCTGCCAAGATGTTTTTCCAAACCGCGTCCCAGTTCAACTTGTCCATCGTCATCGCGGCACTTCAACCCAACAGAGTTTTTGCCTTCGTTGCGCTTTGGTCGTTTCTTCTCTTTCGATCCCTTTATCTTTAACCCCCAGTCAGACCGTCTGCTTCCCACTTCTGCTCCCCCAATAATGCTGGCTGGCGGGTTTCGAGTCAACCAACAAAGATGCGTAAGTAAGCCCCCTTTTTCATGTCCGCGCGTGCTGACACTCGATCAGATCGCGTGAGAGCATGGGCACATTCGTCGGCTCACAGGCACAACTTCAACCCATGGTCGCCCAGTCGTGACAGTCAAGTCTCTCCACCGAACACGAGTCCACCGCAGGGTGACGACTCGACAAAGCAGAAACCCCCCAAAGGCTCCATCCTCAGTCGCATCGTCGCCAATGTCAAAGTCGCCCTATTCCACAGCTGGGTGAATGTTCTACTTGTTTTTGTGCCCGTGGGCATCGCCATCCACTTTACTGGAATCAACCAGAATGTAGTCTTTGCTCTTAACGCGGTCGCCATTATTCCCTTGGCTGGCCTTTTGACATTCGCAACCGAAAGTGTTGCGCATCGACTTGGGCCTACATTGGGAGCTCTCCTGAATGTCAGTTTTGGAAATGCAGTGGAATTGATCATCTTGTAAGTTATCTTATAGTATTCAACACGGGTTGCGCTAATAGCAAGAAGCATGTACGTGATATTTAGTTCCCACCTCGAAGGTAATACTAACCTCACGCAAGCATCGCCCTGGTCAAAAATGAGATCCGCATTGTCCAGGCTTCTCTTATCGGCTCACTGCTTGCCAACCTCCTTCTCATCTTGGGTATGGCCTTTTTGATCGGAGGCCTGGAATTCCAGGAGCAGATTTACGACAGCACTGTGACTCAAATGTCGGCTTGCTTACTGGCGCTGGCAGTTCTTAGCTTGCTGATTCCGGTAAGTCTTTCTGCTTTGCGCTGACCGGGACTCGTAGTCCAGCGTGTGCTAACTCAGATCGTCAGACCGCCTTCCACGCGTCGTTCAGTGACCTTCAGAAAGCTGATCGTGCTGTTATCAAACTCAGCCGAGGGACTTCCGTGATCCTACTCATCATCTACGTCCTCTATCTGCTGTTCCAACTAAAGTCTCATGCGTATCTTTACCAAGGAACCCCGCAACATATCATCGATGAAGAAGCCACGCCAGGATTTCTTCAGCGTTTCGACTCTTCAAGCTCTTCCTCGGCCAGCTCTTCAAGGTCCTCGGTCACAAGTGCCGGCTCACATCGACGTGTAAGCAAGAGACTCAGGGCCAAACTGGGCAGGAGACGCGAGGTGAAGACTGAGGTGGCGACTGAACCAGACAATGGAGAAGGATCCATACAGTTCGGACAGAATGTGATTGATACTTATGCTGAAAAGACTGCCGAGCCAGAGGAAATGAAGTCGCAAGATGAATCGAAGGAAGAAGGGATGCCAACGAATACCCCTGCAGCTTCGGCCAAGGACAAGAAACCGATTGTCGGGCCTCGCGGACTCTCTTTCCGGGCTCCACCAGTTTTTCGATCGTCCACACATCCTTCCCCCAAAGGCAGAGACGCAAACTATCCTTCTCATCCGCTTCGACATTATCAGTCAGCACCCAACGATCAGCAAAGTCCAGCCGTTGCTCGGATTGCACGCCGCTCTACGCCGAAAAGTCCCCTCGCAGAAGAAGACGCTCCTCCCATGAGCCAAACTGCATCGATAGTCCTCCTGATTGTCTCCACTGCTCTTGTTGCACTCTGCGCGGAATTTCTTGTCGGAAGCATTGAACATTTGGTGGAAAATTCTCCCTTGTCCGAGGCGTTTATTGGATTGATTATTCTGCCCATTGTTGGAAATGCTGCGGAGCATGTCACGGCGGTGACCGTGGCCGCCAAGAACAAGCTCGACCTTGCCTTGGGCGTGTCACTCGGATCGTCCATTCAAATTGCGCTCTTTGTCACTCCGTTCGTCGTCATTCTAGGGTGGATCATGGATAAGGACATGTCCCTCTATTTCAGCTTGTTCGAGACCGGGTCGTTGTTTGTTTCGACTTTCATCGTCAATTTTCTCGTTCTGGATGGGCGCAGCAACTATTTGGAAGGTGCGCTGTTGTGCGCGTGCTATGTGATTGTGGCAGTGGGAGCATATTTCTTTCCGGACGGACAGGACCAAAGTTCTCTTACAAGTGGTCCCTCGACTTGATCCATGTCAAAAGTCGCAACACCGAGCTGTAATCAACATGGGCTACTATGCCGTAAGTGCTGAGCGGCAGTTTGGTTTCGTGGGCGATGCTGCGACTGACGACAGGCCACTTCGTCATGGAAGGAAGCCAGAATCGATGACTTGGCAACTACCACAGGGTTGGTTGATGATCTGTATGCAGAACGATCAAGATGATAGCTATGCTGTCGACCACTTGCCCAGACACATATTCACACGAGCCATGCGGCTTACCGCTAGAAAGCTCGGCGTGAATGAGTTTCGTGACACTGGCTCATTACAGCGGTGCTTGTACAAGACAGAAGGAAAGGCGTTGATCGGTGTCATTCTGCAGAGCCGATATATACTAAGCCGCGAAGATCGGGTATACTTGGTTCTCACCCTTTTTTGGGTATGGTTTACTGGGCGGTGGAGCAGCATGGTGCTTGATCAGGCAATGAATGATTTGAGAGGCTTGTGACGGTTCAACAACGTGTGGTAAATCTGTTCATCCACCAACAACTCGGCGTGCTGAGCCTGTGGATACGTACCTCGTAAACGGATTTGAGCCGAATCGCACCTCTTCATCTGAACCAGCGCCAGAGCGAGCACCAGTGCCATGGAGTGAAAATAAACATGCGATTACGCCCAGAGTAGGACTGCTGGTGTAAGAATTCGACGACGCCGCTATATTAGTGTTCCCTTCTGAGATCCGGTGGGGATGGTTGTGCACGCTGTCCTACATGCACGTAAACCTCGTCCCGAGTACTCGGTGCAGTACTCTATACCTATGTAGAAATGGAGTACCGACACGAAGACGGAAAAGACACCAGGAGCGAATCAAGCAGACCAAAGAGGCCTGACATTGCCCCTTCCTCTGCATCACAAGGAAGGGGTAAGGAGTAATGAATCGTCGGGTGCCGCCTCGGCCACGATTTGTGGGGGCGCGCAGCATGAGTAGAGGCACCAAATGAATCGATGGGTTTGCCATGGCGAGGGCTTCGATTCGACGGGCACTTCCTCAGCTGATCAAACGTCTTCTGTTTGTATCCCCGGTGGAGTATTTGACAGCGCCGACGAGCATATTCGCACGCTTTGTCGTTGAGCTCTGTGAGGTAAAAGTGGTCCATCTTTCTTCTGGACCTGGAAGACTCGATATGCGCTTCGGAGAGGATCGGCAGTCTAGATCATGAAGTGTTATGCGATTCCTCCTGCGACCTCACAGGTCGAACATGAAGCGCTATACCTCTTCTGGCCTCACAGGTTCGAAAAGTTCTGCAAGGTTAGAGGAGGAATAGCGCATTAAACCTCACAGGTCGAACATGAAGCGCTATACCTCTTCCGACCTCACAGGTCCTACAAGGTTAAAAGAGGAATAGCGCTTTAAACCTCACAGGTCGAACATGAAGCGCTATACCTCTTCTGGCCTCACAGGTTCGAAAAGTTCTGCAAGGTTAGAAGAGGAATAGCGATCGTTTACACGTTCACATCTTCCACTTTGAAGGTAAAGGTGATTGGTTGCCAGGGGTTTGGCGGTCAAGGGCAGCTTGTCCAAAGGGCCACATGTGGGCCAAAATAAACGGTTTGACTAATTTCGAGTCTTTGTGTAGAAGAAACTCAAAGACAAACGTCCCGTGTCAGCGGTTGAATTACCGCAAAGTCTACGTAGGAATGTCTTTACACATTGCCATCCCCCCTGTCCTCCCCCGGAAGATTTTCGTGAGGTTTGGATTGATAAAGCCCCACCGCACAACCCTAAACAAGTACACTCCAAGTTGTCGCGGTTGCGGAAAACACACAATGGCTTCCCGTTGAAGTCGACGGTTCCATTCCTTCTCACCAACCGGAGGATAGTGGTAGTAGTAACTGCTCTCCATTACTGGCTTGAGCGCAGCGAAGAGGGGCGTCAGGACGGTCTCTAGCATTGACGAAAATAAGTTTTCCACAAAATGACAAGCAAAAGGCACAAGTAAGCTGCAAAGTAAAGGGTAACGGGACACACCTGGAGATGACATCTCACAAAGAGGACTTGTCCTCCGTAGTTGTGATGAGTATTGCTCACTAGGAAGGAGTAAGTAAACGTTCATGTTTCTCTTCTCAAATTCTGGCGAGAGAGCACACACTGAGGTGAATGGTACAGACACCAATACCAGAGAAAGCCACTCTGGCAAAGTATATCGCCGAGAAAAGAATCACCAGCACAGACGCGAAGATGGAGATGGAGATGAGTGTAGGCTTGTACATATTTATTCTTCCTGGCATCGATCGTAGATATATTTGACTCCCTTTATTTGAGAAGGCTGTGGTCTTCTGGCTCTTATATAGCCTCCGAGGACTTTTTCCTTGTTATCGCCCTTCCTCGTATTCTCCAGAAACATCCCTTCTAGAGCCTTAGTTGGCTTCCTTTAAAGGACGTGCAGTAGCTCAATACAGGAAATGACGTCTGAAGCATTAGTATTCAACCTTGCGGGAATAGGGCGACTATTATCGCTGGATGGGCCCTGTTCCCTGACGACTTGTCAACCATTGGGCATACAGCACAGCGCACGACGACAAGTAGACCAATTATCCTTTGTTGTCGACTTGGGTATCGATTCTGCACATGGAGAGAGGGTGACGGCCAACGCTGAACTCCTCAGAATGCATATCTCTCATCGAAGCGATTCGACTCTTCCCGAGTCTCAACCCTGCAGTCCATGAATCCGTGAAGCTGTTCCTCGATATACCTGCACTAGGCTGCGCCAATCTAGCCATGCGTTATACATCTTGGTCTTCAAAAGCACTGCCTCGTGTCCAATGAGCTCCTTGTTCATTCTTTAGCGACAGTTCCGGACACATCTAGGATCCATATACGCAATGTTGTTAGACACTAGGATAGATCCCCAACGAATTGCGTCTTTAAAGGGGGTCCCCACGTAAGAATATGACAGTAGAGACTTGCCTAAAAACGTAATACCAGGGGAAGAGGACTCTGGTGGTTCGGCCAAAAGCGGGGATCACTCTTCTGAGCCTTCAATTGGATAGAAGTACTGTGCTTGCTTTTGATAGTACCTGTCAATTTGCTGTGTCCGAGACGGTGTACCTGGAAGCGAGACAAGCTGTTTACCCGAGTCTAATGCGTCCAAGAGAGCAGGGGACCAGACAGCAGCAGCAGCGCATTCATAGCTCTCGCAGCGATTGGAAGAGTGTTGAGAGGTTATGCAGGGTCCTTGTGAAGGGCTGCCTCACCACGGCTCGGTCTTTCTGTGCGCTATACCTGTTACGACCTCACAGGTCGAACCCGCGGGTCGACCTTACAGGCTGCAAGAGGAATAGCGCGAGTCTCACGTGAATCCTTGATGGATGTGCGTATGACTCCGCCGCGGGAATGTTTGCTGCGATCGAAACTCGGCATCCTTGACCTTACCTGCAGGACCACGATCGGCTGCGTGACTCGACTCCACACGACTCGTCTCGACTCGGATCTCGAAGGGCAGTGAATTTCAGCATGTGGCATGGAGAAGGGTGGCTCGACTTCGGCTCAGCCTCGCCGTGAGCTCCTCCTACCCAGCCTACCGCGTACTCAGGCCGCCGCTCACCTCTGACCCTTCTTAACCTTCTGATCCGCCGTGCTTCGTCTCGTTTTCGGGCCCCGCCATCGTTGGATACTCGCACTGCCGGCCAGGGAGAAGTACAACAGCCATGAGTTCTTCACCAAGGGTCACAAGCAGAGATCGATGGGACTTCCCATATGGAAAATTTACGTGGTGTTGAAGAAAGGTCGCCGAGGAAGAGCAGGGCCGACAATTTTTGTCTTACACAGAGCTATATCAGCGTGGCCAAAAGGGCTTATAAGCTGATTGAGGATCTGAAGCAGACCTCACTCAAAGTCCTGTTTGTGCGACTATGATATTGCGTACGCCGTGTTTCCTCTTAATCTGCGCGCAGATGTAGGGGAATCATTGATGCCCAGCACAAAACAGCTGCGAATTTTGTGTGGGATCCATGTGGTGATATCCAGACAAACTGGGGATCCAGCTGCACAAGCATGGACTCAGTCTCCCATCGGCGGTGTGCTACTCGTGAATGGGACTTATTTTGGACTCATGACGGCTCATTCATTTCTCGAGGACGAAGAGGACTTGGTGGAGCAAAACCAGCACTATGACTCTCCACCGCAACTCATCCGGAAGCTGATCTGGAAAGGATATGCGCGCAGAATCGTGCTCATGACTCGACCATCGAGGACGATAAGAATTGCATCTCGGCCCAGCCCGTGGACTCGACAAACCTAATCAATACTACAGACGCTGACGGGCTGGCAAACCGTGTGTCGAATATAAAAGTCCTGCTCAGTAGGAGCTGTGACTGGGCTCTAGTGCCCGTGCACAACTCTCATTTCACAACTACGAACAGCCTCCGTGTCGGAACTGGCAAAGAGATTGAAATCGATTCGCTCACGGACGATTTTCCGTCTGGTCCGGCCCCTACCACCGGCAAACCTGCAACCAACGAACCAGGTACGACGCCAGTGTCTGCGTCGTTGTACCCTAACGCAGTCTTCGCAGAAGAGGATCGTGAGGGCTCAGAGGAGGAAGTGGAATTGACACAGGGTCAAACTCCTGCGGCACAAAAGGGAGACATAATCACCGAGCCAGCTGGTGCAGAATCCGTACCTAAGGCACTCTCGGAGCGGTCCCACAACACGGCTAAAGGGAGAGACTGAAACTCTAGCAGACACAAAGTATTCAGCCATTGAGACTGGAGGTGGTTCTCCGGACCGTCTAGAGCCGATCAGCCACGTCATCGATACAGTGGAGAAGACAGGAGCGAAGGGAACCGAACCTGGAGATTTTTTCCAGGTCATCCATCCTCGCGAGACCGTGGTTAAAGATGACGACGGTGAATCCATTTCGAAGCCCCCCAACAGACATATTCGCCCCAGCGGCGCACACACAACCGCGTCAGCAGAAAGGACATTCTCCCAGACTCACTTGACCACTATAATATCCCGTGGGGATGGGATCCTGAGGACGACTATTACGTCTTTGTCAAAGAGTATCTGACAAAGGAGAGACGGCATGAGCTTCGGCCGCACACAGCTTAGAATTGCCCCCGAGTTTGCTTCAGCCTGTCGCCAACTAGACCTTGATTTCAACGACCTGGTGTAGTACTTGGCCTGGGATGCTGGCTCCTCGATCGAGTTTTGTCAAGAGGTTCTGGCTGTCCGCACATCGAAAGAGCGTAGTGTTCTCTTGCCCAGCGCCCGTCACCGCATGGCACATCGAAAAGTCCAGGCGCAGGAGAGATTAGAGCCAGATGTGGTTCCGGTTCCGCTACAACCCAGGCCCTACGGCCCTGAGACGCAGCGTGAACGGGGAAGGTTCGTTGGCAGAGAGCCAGAAGGCATGCCAATGGCAAGCGTCCGAAGCAGGACGGTTTCACTGGATAGTGGATTGGGGAGGAACATCCACTATTTGGGTACATAGATGTCAATCCACACAGCGGACGGCCGTCCCTCTTGTTGATGATCCCGCATTCGATAGGCTTGCATTGCAAAACATTCGGGGCAGAACATTTTGACCCGTTAATTGGTCTTGATACTGTATAAGAATGATTGCACTTGTGCAACGAAGCAGTCACAAATCTCTGTAAGGGCTTGTTTCATACTCTTCGAGGAGGGCAAAAAACGACCTCTACCACTCAAATGCCTAGTATTGCCCTGATAGGGCTACATGAGGCTAGGTTCTAGACTCCAGACGTGGAAAATAACTTGCCCCACTCACCCAAGCAACCGAAATGGGGCTGACCAATCCCTAGAGACCTTGTCTTTGCCTTGGACTTCTATCTTCCTCGGCATTGACGACCTGCAGTAGCACGGCCCGCCCGGGGGGGAAGGGGGGGTTCTGTTTCAACGTCTTTGTGACTTCAAATCCCATGGTCGTTTCTTCCTCAGGGTCATACTGTACCACGGCCGGGCCGATCTCTGGAGCCCCAATGACGACTTCTTCATCCAGACATCTTGCTCGGGACGTATGAGGCACGCTCCCCTTCCCCAATGGGATCGCGCAGATTGAAGGAATGACAGTCTCTGTTTCCGCACAACTGCCAGTGCCAGTGCGCTGTCTATATGTATATCTAAGTACCATGCGTCATATGTTCCTCGATGGAGGCCTCATTGTCTTCGTGACTGGTGCCGCCCTCCGCTCCGCGCCAAAAAGTCTAAGAGGCACATGTAGAGTACATGCTGACGGCGACAGGGATATGACAAAATCTCTTTTCAATATCTTTGTTTATTGGGTGACTCGCTTGCTCACTCGTTCACTCAATTCCTCACTGTCAATCTGATTGACTGATGGATGGATCGGGCCGGTCCGAGCTCTGCCGAGAACACCGAGACAAATGTGAGACTTCCTGTACCTCCCCTGCTCCCCAAAATGTTGGTGCCTGATCCAGGGGAATGACTCACCCAACGAATCACATAAAGTGCCCATATCAACCCTCTCCTCCCGATCTCCACGGCCAAGATTGTAAGAGTATAAGGTCTAGGGTATACAAAGCACCGCCGCTGAGGTTGAATCTTTTGCGGCAACAAATAACGTCCTGAATAACCAAGTTTCTCGAGTCTCCACTCTCCACTTTCCGCTCCTACAAAGCAGCCCATCTGTGTCAGTGAAAGTGGTCACAATGGCATCCTCCACGCCTCAGCAGTCGACTACCCGGGATCCAACCTTCCGCAACTACGATCCCTCGTCGGCAGCGAAATACCTCAAGCACCGGCCCCGGTACGCAGACGCGCTGATCGACCTGGTCATCTCGAAACACACTTCTTCCGGCGGGCAGTTGGACCTAGTGCTCGACGTCGGGTGTGGACCGGGCATCGCGACCCTGGCCCTGGCCCCGCACTTTCAACATGCCATCGGCGCGGATCCCGGTCAGAACATGATCGAGACGGCAAAGACGGTTCCTTCTACGACCAAATCGGGCGAGCCCATCACGTACGAGGTCTGCCCGGCCGAGGCTTTGAGCACGTTGTCCGCTCTCAAAGCCTTTTCAGGTAGCACCGACGGTCGGGAGTGCGTGGACCTCATCACGGCCGCGACCGCCGCGCATTGGTTCGACATGCCTCGCTTCTGGGGCGAGGCGGCCAAGATCCTCAAGCCGGGCGGCAGCGTTATAATCTGGTGCTCCGGAGGGCACCGCTGTGACCCGAACAACACGCCCAATGCCGAGAAGCTCCAGGAGTGGTTCAAAGTCTTTGAAGAGGAGGTGCTGGCCCCTTACGAGCAGCCCGGCAATAAATTGGCGCGGGAGTTGTACATCAATCTCGGACTACCCTGGGAATGCCTCGACCGGATCGACGGCGCGGACCAAGAACTAAAGACCCTGTTGAAGGAGTTTGACGAGACGCGGTTCGAGAGGATCGAGTCGGACCGCGACGGCCGCATCGCCTCCGACGGGACTGCCTTCTCTGAGTATCGCAAGGTGGATTTCGCAACCATCAAAGCCATGCTGGGCACGGCGAGTCCCATCACGCGGTGGAGAGAGGCCCATAAGGAGAAGTTGGAAAGGGGAGAAGTGGAGGACGTAATGGATATGATGATCAGGAAAATGAAGGAGATCCTCGAGGAAGTACCAGAGGGCAAGGGGCGGGACTATATCGATGGTGGGAGCGGGATGGTCATCTTGGTCGTGAAGAAAAAGATGTAGACGTGAGGTTCTCTTTCCGAGGCCGGAAATTGACAGAGATGTATTCACGAGCGATAATATTTCAGAGTTGAGGACTCCAAGATAGAAGACAATAGAGATTGCTTTTCATGATTACAGCATCTATGCCGAGTACTCGGTATGTATATCCCCATTCAGGACAAGCCAGCCTTGACCTCGTGCACAGTCTTCGGCGAATCATTTTTCCGGATGCTTGGCAACAAGGCTGCTCCTCACAAGGCTGCCAATGCTTTCTCAATTTTTGACATTTCTGGTCCCTCTCCACCACTAGGTACAAACATCTCAACTACACCAGCACTTACACCGCCAAGACGACCACCGTTGCACCTCTGCGCCTTGTTCGATACGGTCGCCTCACAATAGACAGCACTCTCCCTACGACTGACACGGAGACTACCACAAATCTCGCGCTCCGTGGCGCACTCGGCGCAAAATGAAGCTTGTTAGGTTCGTCACGCCTGTTTTGTCGTGCGACTTGTCTTTATTGCAGTCGCGTTTGCCTGCGCCGGCTTGGGCGTGGTTATAAAACAAAGGTGGTTACGTTGGTCGCTGACACTGGAGCCAGGTTCCTCATGAAATGCGCGAATGAATCCGTCACGATAGAACTGAAGAACGGCACCATCGTGTCGGGCACGATCACCTCGGTGTCGCCGCAGATGAACACGGCCCTGCGGGCGGTCAAGATGACGACCAAGAACCGCGCAAACCCCTCGGCCCCCGGCGACACGGTCAGTCTCGACACCATCAACATCCGCGGCTCGACCATCAGATACTACATCCTGCCGGACTCGCTGCCCCTCGACACGCTCCTCATCGACGACCAGCCGAAGCCGAAGAACAAGGCTAGGAAAGAAGGCGACTCACGCGGCGGCCGGGGTCGGGGCGGCCCCAGAGGACGGGGAAGAGGCGGTGGGCGTGGACGGGGTAGAGGAAGAGGGTTTTAGGTCGGTGCGCGGAATCCTGGGTCTGGGGGCCGCACATCTATGTTCATGCAGTAGAGAACCTGCATATCTGGGGCTGCGGTCATGATCCGATCACGCCGTCTTGGTTTTGATGAGCTATGCCCTGCAAGGACCTCGTATTACGGCAGAGAGGAGGGTGGAATGTCCATCTGCGACCCGCTCCGCCAATCAACCAGCATGTTTTTATGATGCAAAAAAATCACTACGAGAGACACAGTGCGCTGTGGTGTCAATGGAAACTGCAACTTCGCAGTGACGCGCAGAAGGAGTTGTTCTAGGGTGGCTCTGTCGCGCGCGAGAGAGAGACGCTACGCTACAGCTTGGTCACCGAAAAGTGGAATTGAGGTGCAACGAATGCATCCAGGAAGAGTTTGGGATCTTCTCCATACCGCCGACACAGACACAGCAAAGATGCAGAATTGATCCCGTCATGACAAGGCATTTCAGAACAGAACAGAACCACAATGCTGTCTTTGCGATCAATCTCTTTCTATGCGCATTGTTCTTCATACTTGTTCATCGGCTCCCAGCGCCCTTTCTATGGGGAGGCGGATACTGTGGTTACCCGTTCCTGGAAAGAACCGAGCTTGTTTGATGCGGCCCATTCCTGTACAGCTGACCTATTCGCCTGCAGACCTCATCCAATCTCAGATCCCGTACCTGTAAAGTACCGCTACAACGTGGCTTTCACCATGTCTCCTCTCGCTTTTGTTCTACTTCTTCCCAATCCTGCACTGCATAGTGCGATGGGCACGGTATGATGCATGGGTGATGACTGCGTTGCTGGTTGCAATTTGATTGAAATGCACTCTTCTTGGCTCTTGAGTATTTTGAAAGGCGATCACTCGTATGCAGCGAATCCCATCCAGGTAAGGGGTACCTGGAACCGTGGTCTGCCGCTATAGGTACCTATGTACTCAGTACAGTACTCGGTATAGGTACCTATGTAGCGTCTTACTGTAAGTACGACGTGGGGTCCAAAAGCTGACGAGGCTGAACACAACGTTCGCCAGCTGTTGCGGTCAATCATGTGAACCGTACGAGGTACGTCCCAGGTCCATATGCTCACTGGACGAGGGTAAACCTCAGACCCTCAATCCAACATACCTGCGCCACTATACGAGGTATTCCAGCCACAAGTTCCTCCAGGCGAAGCAGCATGACCCTCATTAAAAACCTTCTTGTTCGACATCGACCGAGAAAACAGTTTCCCGGAAGCGAACCTCGTGTAAGATGACCAATGCCCGCCTCCTCTGCGCGAGATGTGTACACGGTCCTCGGAAAACTTTTCAGGCGAGCAGTCTCTCACAACTACTCCGCCACTGGATTCAAGACTATCTTGGCTCGTATTACACGGCACGGCAGCGATACGACAGGGAATGTTCAGCTGCCAATGTCCAATAGCCCCGCCCCCCAGCGTTCGAGGCATGCTTGATTGCTGACAAGACACGACTATGTGTACCTTCGTGGGTATCTGCTTGGGTGGTGTTGTATATATCGCCATGGTGACCCCGAAATCTTCATAAGTCAGAGAATAAGTCAAGATAGAGCCCACGCAAAAGCCAGCAGGAACCATCCTTTCTGCCTACAGACAGACAAGCCAACACTCCAGCGACAAAATGTCACTGGAAATCCAGACTCCGTACGGCACCGCGCTGCCTCCGGCCCCAAGGCACGCCATCACAGTCCACCTCCCGCAGTGGCGATCGATCGAGCGCTTCCGGGACCGAGACCCGGAGCTGTTCAGGTCGCTCCGGAGCATGTATCCGCGGTTTGTCCTGCACAGGGATGTCTTGGAGGTATGTATGTACTTGTATGTCCTATAGGAGTGTTACACAGCTTGACCCATGCTGGGATGGGCGGACGAACTGATGCCTTTGTCGGATTGATATCCTTCTGAAACGCCTCATTCCCCACTCCCTCTCTCTCTTTCTCTTTTGACAAGCCTTGGTGTTTGCCGTTCTTTCCTTTGTGTGGGAGATGGCTAACACGACTAACAAATGGACAGCTTACCGCAAAGATCGTCGACTTCGCCGACATCGAGGCCCAAGGCTGCTTTCTATTCCCTTCGTCACAGGCAGCGCGTGATTGCAAGGAATATGCGACCTCCCCCGACAGAGGACAGGGGTCAGTTCCCCGCGACGGCATCTCCATCCGCGTCTTCAGGACGCATTGTCCGGTGTACGCGGTCGTCTTCCCCGCCGAGTTCACGGGCACCGTGCACGGTTTCTGGGTTAATGCTGGCGTGGGCATCTCGTCTCGCTTGGCGGAGGATTGTCTCGAGCATATCAGCTCGTTGAGAGAAGAAGTCAGGGACAGGGACCACGAAGAGGGTGCGAGAACAACAATGACGACAGCTAAATCTGACGGCCCTGCTCACCAACAGCTCAAGGAGAGGATAGCAGGCCTGCTCAATAGAGCCCCTGCTGACCCGCACCGCACGGCCCAAGTCTCGCCCAGCGACGTCTACTTGTTCTCGACCGGCATGGCCGCGATATACTGGGTCCACCGGTATCTGCTGAGCGCATACGCCTCCTCGCCGTCCGTGCTCTTCGGCTTCTCATTCCACTCGACCATCCACGTCCTCCAAGACTTTGGGCCCGGGGTGGAATTTTTCGGCCTCGGTTCGGAGCAGGACCTCGACGGACTTGAGAAATATCTCGCAGCTCAATCGGGCCGGGGGAGCAAGGTACAGGCCATCTGGACAGAGTTCCCCTCGAATCCACTGCTAAACACGCCGGACCTGCGCCGGCTCAGACATCTGGCCGACGAGCACGGCGCGCTTCTCGTCGTGGACGACACGGTCGGGGGCTTCTGCAACGTCGACGTCCTGGACGTCGCAGACATTGTCGTCACGTCCTTGACAAAGTCATTCAGTGGGTACGCCGACGTCATGGGCGGGAGTGCCGTGCTCAGCCCGCTGTCGTCGCGGTACGAGGAGCTTACGGCCCTGTTCGGCACGCAGCATCACGACGACCTGTACATCGGCGACGCCGAGACGCTGGAGCGCAACAGTCGAGACTACCTCGAGCGCTGTGCCGTGTTGAACCGCAACGCCGAGAAACTGGTCGAGTATCTCCAAAGCAACACGAAGAACAGCAGCAGCAGCAGTATCACCCAAGTCTTCTACCCCACCGTCAACGACACGCTCCCCAACTACACGACACACCTGCGCCAGCCGACCCCTGGGTTTCCCCACCAGGGCTACGGATGCCTCCTGAGCGTGCAACTCCGCGACCTCGACGCCGCGATCGCATTCTACGACAACCTCCACGTGCACAAGGGCCCGCATCTCGGCGCCCATCTGACGCTGGCGTTGCCGTACTCGCTCGGCGTCTATGGGAACGAGGCCGCCTGGGCGAGCAGGTACAACGTCAGGCAGGAGCAGGTGCGGATATCGGTGGGCCTCGAGGATGCGGATGACTTGGTCGACAGGGTCAAATGCGCGGTGGAGGCTGCTGACCGGCGGACGGATCCGGTGACATAGCGAGAAGCTCGAAGTGTGGAATATGGGGAGGATTGATTCCGAAGGGTATGGTCAGAGGTTCTTGTGTTTGTGAAATGGGGCCGGATCTGTGACTTGAATATACGAGGAGCACGCAGAGCCTCTGCTTGGGTTACCCTGCCTTTGGGGTGAGTAAGAGCTCGGTCCGGATCCCATCAGCGAACTGTCAATGCGAGATGCTGTTCGGGCATTTCGTCAGCGGCATCTAAGAATAAATTGTGATACTTTCTGTGCGATTCGGCAATGTCTCCCTCGCAGCGGTTCGTGGGGGCTGGAACAGCTTCAATCCATGGGCATTACATCCCTCGTCTCGAGAAGTCTTTTTCGTCTTCGTTCCGGTTCCTACCATGGTAGCAAGCTCTGGGTCCTGGTAAGTTCAAAAAATGGTCGAGTTTAGACAGTCACATCGAAACCCTTTGAACGGAACGAGAGATATATCAAAAGACCACAATTTCAGAAGTGGATATTTTTACATTGTTCGAAAAGCGCCGGATCCTCGCCCTTGACTGATATTATGTGCTTGCTCGGCCTGAGAGGAAAGCCACGTAGTTCCCGCTCGAAAAATCAACAGGTGCAACTGAGGTGCGTGGCACCTTGATCCATCTTCTTGCATCCAGCAACATACCGGCTGAGATTTTTGTTTTCCTTTTTTGGTCTTCCCCTAGCCTCCTTCATTTCTTCGTCTGGTTCATTCGGTTTTCCAGTTCCGTCACGTATGAATGGATTCGCTGCACGGCTGCTTGCAGTGCCTAAGGTCCAGGTGTCAGTATCCGGTACAAAAATCGGAGCGTCTTCAGAAGCAGAGAAGACTGCGGTGTCATTTTTTTCGGTCCACCACTTGTTTCCAAATCGACGTCGCAAGGAGTTCGGTGTAGGGTGGTATGGGTCGTGAATCACGTACGTAGATATCCTCCGTCAATAGCTCATTGGAGACCTTGTATTCCTCGAGGATGTAGTAGTAGACGGACGCGCCAGCCAGAGTCGAACCCAGCAAGAAACCGAACAATCTAGAGTCGCGCGAAATGTTAGCGGATCCGTCCCATATCCAGCCCTGAACTGCACACTTGGTATGCCGGCACCACCGGAGTTTTGTAGAAGCTCCCAGGGTCTCTTTTGTTCGTCAACGGCACGACCGGGGCAAGCTCACCCTCCTCTGAAAGCTCCCATGGGCTTTTTCACAGGTACCGCCGCACCGGCTTCTTGGAACCTTCTGCACGTCGACTGGAACGATCTCGATTGAAACTGCGGGAGAGCTCTGACTGTTCGAGACGCGAGGGAGAGGCGCGGGACAAGGACACGGGACGCCATAGCTTTCGGATTGAAAGGTTGGCACGGATTTACAACAGAGGGCGCAGGCTTGTGAGTAAGTCGCGGTGGGAAGAGGACAGCGAGCTTTGCACAGTGAAGAGAAGGTGACGTCGGGCGGGATCGCTTTGGAACGAGCAATAAACTCCGATGTACGAGGTACTCAGCGGCGAATCTTGACCTCTCCAAGATCCATTTCCGTTTCTAGACCTGAGCATCCCGCCATTTTACCAGAGTCATGACTAAGCTATTCAGAGCTGTGGCTATGCAAGGGGGGGCAACCACCATAAGCCATAAGCTATGACCTTGGATGTGCCTGACTAACACTAGCGGCTGTACGAGATAAATACTCATCGCCCAAGAGCAGCAATCCGTCATACCAATGAATGCTACAAAGTCCAATGTACGTCATTCCTTCATTTCCCGGATGTCCTTGTCCCTAATCTCCTCGCCTTCTCTATGCAAAGAACCCGACACCCTCAACCCAGCGCCGAACTGGTATCACTCAATCCACAAACAAATCCGCGAGCAGATCTTTTCTACATGCCGCAAGATCAGGCAGTTGGAGGCTGTATGTGTCCTCAAAAGCATGAATACTCAATTGCCGAAAGAACGGGCGCAGAATGGTGCTGGGATCTTCGCTTGTCCGCGTCTTGTCCGTACAAAGCCATGGAATCCGGGCTCCGGTGCTTGATGCCGCGAGAAGCTCAGTCTCGGGGCCTCCTTTGCTCACCATCAGATCTGCGATTGCAGTTGACTTGAAGTCGTGTGGAGGATATACTGCATCCACCGTGTCCGTCACGAACAACCATTCGTGTAGTTGGAACTCCTCGGGTTTCAGGAGAAGAAGGAGATCTAATAATTTGGCCCCTTGCAGTTGTGTATAGCCCGTAAATACAGCCTCGCCCTCTTTCTGCATGCTTGAGAATAGTTCTCGGAGCTCCACGTCCACTATCGGCCACAGTGAGACTAGATGCACTTGAGTGAAAGCCAACGTTATGGCCCGAAGAACGAGATAGACATCTCCGCGCGTACTTGACGAGGGAGACGAGGATGGGGTCGCTGTAAGAAGTTCCTCGAGTTTGTTGATGATGTGGCCAAGATCTGACACGAAAGCGTCGACTTCCGCAGCCAACAGGAGCAGGGCAATCCGCCGCAGATTAAGCTGAGTCTTCCTGTCTGCCTCCGTTCGCGCAGCCGTAGCACCAACGCCAAACATCAACCCCGCCGTTGTTGGAGGTGTCAGACGGGACACAAAGTCGGCCATCAGCCCTTTGTCGGAGAGCCAAAGTTGGTTCAGTACGGGAAGCCATCCCGTTTCGGCTAACCATGGGGCTGACTGGAAGAATTTATTGTCGTTGATAGCATCGTGGATATCTTTCTTCCAAACCTTGTTGTTGGGTTGGGATTTGGCCATGAGAAGTACAAGCTGCAGAATGTCCAAGTTCACCGTCTGCGGGAACTGCTTTGATCGTAGAGCAGGTCCGGTAACATAGGTGGCTACACCAGGGAGCGTACCATTCAGCCTGTCTTGGTCTCCGAGTGCATTACTAACGATGGGCAAGGCTTCACACAAGACCTCAATGGCGTTCCCAGTGTGCAACGGGTTCTTCCGCCGCATGGCCCCCATTCCTTTTGAATCTTGTATATCCGGCAGTGGCTGAGCAGTCGAGTCCAGTCCAGCAGGCCGTATCGTAAATATGGCTGTGAGGAGTCTCGCACACAGATCGCTCAGTTCGCGACGCATTTTCACAACTTCCCCAAAATTGGTGTTTTCCATTTTCTGGCAAAGAACAGCCACAAATTCCAGAAGCTTGAGCAGGATTTGTCGGTGTGGCATAGGATTGGCAAGAACTTCCCGCAGGAAGGCAGTGCAATCAGTCCAGATCTCTTCAAGCAGGTCATCTTCCAACACGCTCGTGTAAGCTATCAAGAACGCCATCAGCTCGGCTGCACTCACGTCCACTGACAAGCTGGATTTCTGAGACTGGTCCAGGGCTGATGGGTTCGTTCGGTTGTAGATTGCATTGAACGTGGCTGGCATCATGAATTTTGGTCGGGCTCCGTCCAGACTTTGCATCAGATTGAGAGTGATGTCTTGCTGAGCATCTCGACGAGCCGCCTCGGTCCACATTCCCATCAGTGTCTCCAGACATTCCTGTGGTTCAGCGTCGGCAAGATTCTCGAGGATCCTTCGGGTTCTAGTCCGCAGTCGGGTGGAAATATACGCAAAGGATTTGTTGTCGGGGCTGGAAGTGGATGGCCTTTTGAGCATTCTCCAGGCCCATATCTCACCGCATAATTTGATCGTGTCTTGCATACAGAGAATCACGGTCAACCGATGATTCGCAATGGATCGCGACTGAGACTTTTCTGAACTGTTCGGATTGGCCTCGACCCCCGAAGCCTGGTCGACTAGGTGCGTATGCGCTCTTGCTAATATATACTCAAGCCCAGCGAGCAAGTTGTTGACCGATCTTTCTGGCTGCTTCGCCAACTTGGTGGGTGGGTCTCCATTGGCCTGGGTGGTGGTCCGCGTCTTTTCGTATAAATGTTGCATCAGCGTAAAATAGTTTTTGATACGTTCACAGAAACATGCTGTCAGCTTGAGCATGTTCGCAAACAGATTCTGGGTCGAGTACAAGGGAATTGTGTTGCACAGAAGAGTGATCCATTTGTCAATCGTTGAATCAATAGCTTGTGATGAGATGCCAGAAATCAAGATCGATATGAGTTCGCTGGGCGGATTGCCAAAGTTCGGTTTTGCGAATATGATCCGCAACAGTTCCAGGATTTCTTCCTGGGAAGGGCTATCCTGGGGTACATCGGATAGTTGTTTCAATAGCAAACTTAGTAGATCATGGTGTTGTTGAACGTCTGTTTCTTCAATGATCAATCTCAAAATTGACAATGTCGTCGCAAATATTTCTTCTCCTTTCTGTCCGTCGGCGATGTGCTCAATGCACAAGTCGAGCACCACTTCCGAAAACCCCTCCCGTCCGAAGAGTTCGTTGCGTTGCACATTGGACTGCCGCGCGAGGGTCAAAACCTTTCGAAGCCTGTGCAAGCCGAGCAATGACAGTTGATCATTCACCGGATTAGTAGACTCGGCATAGATAATTTTGAAAACAGGTCGAATGGAGGGTAGATTGTTCACCCAGTTCCGTCGTCTGTCGTCTGGCACTGAGGGGTCGAGCTCATCAATTATGCTCAAGATTGGCTGCCGCAGCAGAGCCCAAGGCACTTCGTCCTCGTTACCGCCATGCTTAGAAGTAAACAGCTCGACGTTGACCTCTCCAAAGCGAGTATGCGTCCACAGAGTCGAGAACCGGGCCAGTTGATCTTCGAGACACGATCGCTCCTTGTCTTGTCTGCACATTAAATCCGCTATCTTACTGTCGACGAGAAGGAGTTGTTGTGATATCATGCGCAGGTTCCAAATCTGTTCCACAGCTTCAACGTGAAACTGTGGAGTAGAGGGTAACAGAACTTCCCAAAGCTGCGTGATCAGCTCTGGTACCAGTCGGAGAAGGTAGTGTTCTGTGAGGAGGGTCCTGCCAGTGTCGAATGCATGTAAACTATCCACGATCCTCGCAATTGTTCGAACAGTCTCGTAACTAGCATTGACGTCTGCTGCCGTAATCTTCAGTAGATCATATAGTCGATCTCCAAGTGCT